AGTATGCCGTTACAAATTCGGACATATAAACGATCTGCCAATCAATAGTTATGCTAAATATTTTTTATGCCTTCAAAAATCGATAAAAGAAAACTGCCTCAAGATGCTGCCAAATTGAAGGAACCCGCGAGGCCATCAGGAGTACGAGTAGTGAACTTTTGGTGGAACCAAAACTTGTAGAGCTCCGAGATAATCCCGTGGTTTGTAGCGATTCAAGATAGATAGGACCACCTCGGGATCAAATCTTGTCTCGTCAATACCAGACTGTTAAGCAGAAGGTTACTTCCCTATCCTTAGACTAAAGGTCTTGTAATCCAATAGATAAGATATAGCTGGAGATTTTTCTATAATAATATTATTTCTTCTAATTACGCAAATTATGTTCCGTTAAAAGTGCTGCAAAATACTTAATAAGGAAAGTAGGTACTTCAAGTAATTGCCGACTATTAATGCTGTCTTAAAACCCAAAGACGCATAAATATTCGGCTACTTCTACGCACGAGGATATAACTGTTAGTTCATTCATAGTTTCATTAACCACTTGGAAATTTTACTACCTACTCGCGTACAATGCGCATTGGCAACTGCTCCTAATGCAATCATCACGTTTTATCATCTCAAGTCACGTGTATAAAAATCTTAGTCTCTACGAATTTTTATTTCAAAATGAAATGTTTCAGCATTGATTACTGATAGTCTCATATTTGTTGCGTCCATGTCATATTTTTGAAGAGCATTGACACATGTTTCCTCGTGATTGAGGACATTCGACGATGACGAAGTGATTTATTTTTAACGACTCTACCTACACTCTTTGTATAGGATTTAATTATTTAATTAGTATGCACGAATTGTGTATCTGACTTGATGGATAACATTACAAGGACAAAACTGCAATGAAAAGAAGCTATAATTATAAAGCTGAAAAACTCACCGTGGCAATCCAATATCTGTATGGATCAATAACATTCTGCACCTCCACTTTCATTCCAACTTTAATTCTATCTATAGGGGACAACCCCTTATTATTTAAAGCCTCAATAGACACTGACTGACCATCTAATAAGGCTTTTTTCATAATCTCTATGATTGTATCTCCATATTTTTCATTAATCTCATCAGGAGGTTCTATAAGCTCGTCGTATTTCCCACACCAGCCCAGTGGATGGACCTTGGTGGTGGATATGTCGCACCAGAAGTCATTGTCAGCACCTATGAACTTGATCCGCAGAAGATGTCCGCAGACCATGGTGATCTCTGCTATCCAGTAGATGTCTGGATTGTTCTTGTGACACACTTCCAGCAACATTCCCTGTTTGATGCCATTGTAAAGACTGGTTTCCACCTTTATAGGGACAAGAGATACAATTTTGTTTATTATAATAATATTGACGAGTTGAGCATAATAATAATAAATGTACATTTTATAAAATGTTTACATCTAGCATCTATAGTAGCAAGATATAAAAATTTATAACACAATAACAATATCGTAAACATTTTTACTCTTTTGCTAAAAATAAATAGCGCACTGTAAATGTTAAGTGAGTGTAACATATGCACTGCAAGTTCTATATTTATTTTGCATATAAAAGATAAAAACACATTGAAGGACAACATATGCATTTAGATTGCAAAATATTCGTTGACTGTATTCTTTGTTCAAGATATTAAAAAATCATAATAAAATCATTTATTTAATTGATAAATTAACGACAGAAATATAATAAAAAGGAAATAAGTATGTAGCTAATTTAATTTCAATGTCCAATGCTCTATGATTTCTTGTTATTGTTATTACAATAATCTGTAATTCATAATATGGGGAAAACTAAACAAAAACTACCAAACTTCCATTAATTTTTCATCATGTATCTTTCTCTATTATAAAAATATACTTTTTAATTTTATCAAGGTTAATTATTCTTGCTTCTGAGAGCAGATGAATTTGGAATTAAATATTCCTTTTGATACTATTTCTTAAAAACCTAGAAGGAAATATTTCGTTTGAAACAAATCTTTGTAACTCAAGAATATATTATTAAATATGGTATGGTATTATAATTAAGACTTTTAAAACAAGCCTAGAAACCAGCTAGTGTTCTTTCAGTTGTTATAAATTTCCTCTTTCAAAGTTTCTTATTTTTTATTATTATTATACATTGCATGGCCACCATTAGCATGAGTAGCATAACTATAACAGTAAAATAATTATATCCTTTTCCCTAATCATCATTTCATCATTCTAAAAATAAATTTAAGCTACATCCACTTCTTTCTTGTCTCAGTCATATAATCAAACATTAAATAAGTAATAACAACCATTTGTAATATTTAAATGGAAGTCATTAATATGGTTATTATTTAGTATTGAAGTTCATAACCATATGGTTTCACACATATTTGAAATATTTTGTAATTATATATTTAACATTTAACAAAAGTCTTAAAGCAATAGCATAAAAGAAAAAGACCACAATAAAGATATTGTTATTATATTCGTGGTTTATAAATAGAATTAACACGAGATGAATTTACACTATCATATTTTATTTTGCTAAACGTATTTTCCTTGTAACAACTATTGTTTTTGTAAATTAATGACTATTAGAAACAGTGAAAATAATAATTAGTCTATTAAAAATCATAAATAAACTAAGTTCATTGTAGAATCGACGTAAAAATATATTATACAACATGTAACAAATAATAAAATTGAAACTTACATGTAAAAATAATTCTTCAGGAACAGCGATAGTTTTATTCACTTCTAAATAATTATTCCAGTCGAAGTCTGCCATAATTTTTTGTTTATTGTATTAAAAGTCATCAAATCAAAATTTAACACCACAAAACAAGTTAATCGAACGGTCGAACTTGTTACGAATTTCAGAAATTCATTCTTTTATTCTCACATTTCAAGTATGGTCTTTCTGTCTCACTTATTCAATAGATTGAATAATGTTATCTCTCTCTTAGGTCCTTTCATCACAGCAGGTAATATTGGATTGAAATAACTGCTACATGAAAAATAATGAGCATAAAAAGTTAAAAAAATTCAATTCAGTAGACAATTAAATTTAATTTAATTTAAATGCTTAAATTTTTTATATGCATTTTATTAACCATTTAAACAAACCGAACAAAATATTTCATTCAGTAATAATTATTGGCAAATCATTGTTGAACGTAAAAACGAAAAACGAAACGTAGCTAGAATATTGTTTAATTTTAAAATTGACGTTTCTAGAGATGTTACCATTGACTTAAATATGTCAAAAAAGTTTAAATAACAGTTTAATAATAAATTCACTTAAGTTATTTCTATTGTTACATTGTAATTTAGTGCTACATTGTACAGTGGCATCAAGTGCCGTAATTTCCACCTCTGCCTACCCCTTCGGGATAAAAAGGCGTGATGTTATGTTATTATGTTATTTCTATAAAAAAATATTAAAGCGAAATTGCGATTCCTAAGTGTTTATTATATTACAGAAGTAACGTAAAACGGGGTAAATAAAATTCAAAAGATGAATAGATACACCAGACTGTGGCACCTGGCTAAGTGGCTACCATAGATTTACACGTAGAATATACACACATTGACACATAAGACATCTGAAGCGTGACATGGCCCGTCATTACACTTCATATATTACGGTGTTGCGAGTACATGCAAACATAAATACAGCACTGACATTTTGGTGCTTCAATAATTTCCAAGTAACATTACGTCCGCTTTTATTCAACGTCCTCGTAAAACAAATACAGTTTTTCATTCGAATGACAGTTCACGTACTTGTAGAATCAACAGAAGACGGGTTTAGTGTTTCGAAAGGTTAAACTAAAAATTATATTGTTTTTATATTGAGTAATAGTTACAAAAAAGTTGTATAGGTAATCTAAAATACTTGTTTTTTATAATTGTAATATAGTTTTTATATTATGTACCCAGTATGTATCAAGTTTATTATGATTGCCTATTATCATCAAATAATAATTTTCATCATATACCTGAAATGTTAAGGAGTATACAACTAAATTTAACAGGACAGGACAAGGAAAGAACTTGTCTTGGGAGTGGTGGTTATTAAGGGGGGAGATGACTACCAACCATAACCCGTGCCTTAATAAAAATTATTACTCCCTTCAACGTGTTTTATTTAAAAAAGCAATCTTTTATACATTTTATATATTATGATGATGTTAAAATCGTGTAATAGAATAGGTACCTACGTATTAAATAATTTTTAAAACTGTATTTTTTTACAGTTCCTAAATACTTTGTTTTAGAATTATATTTTCATATTCGCATTAAGTGCCAAAATGTGCACCTCTGCCTACCCCTTCGGGGATAAAAAGGCGTAATGTTATGTTATGTATGTATTTTCATAGGATTCTCATACATTTCCATAAAAATTATAGTAAAAATGGATAGTTATTCAGTATTTATAAATGTTGACCATTTATCCCAACAACATGCTTATATTTAGGTAGGTACCTAATAATGTCCTTTATGTATAATGCCGATCTCAGTCCGGGCCCGTTAAAGCTATAAATATGGTGCATGTGAGTTTTTGGCTTCACATCGTGAAGAGGTTTCTGTCAGTTTCTGTTTCTGATGGAGCCCTAACAACCTATAGCTTGGACCATGCTCCCACTACTAGTCGGCTCCTATTTTTTTTACTTTAAATATTCTTTTATTGTACCTATTTTTGTTAAGTAATATTTAAAAATGTAATTTATAAAAAAAAATGAAAGCAATACTAATTCCAAAAACCCGTTATCTAATAAAAGTCGCTACTCTATTTTTTGCGTTCCATTTATTAAAAACAAACTTGGGTTTAATAACATTAAAATGTTCCATCTCTTTTTATATTTATGTGTTTTCGCCGAGTGAAAAAGAAATACAAACCACATCCTAGTTATTATTTCTGACAGGAACTGGAACGCACTCTACATCTGATTCTATTTGTAGCATTTGTAGCAGTTATATTATTTTCGTTTATCTGTGCCGTGTGACTTCAATCAACGGCAGTGTCGCGGACAAACGTCATTTACTTTGTTATCTTTTGATCCAATTTATCTGACAACAATAAAATTTCCAGATGGTTTCTTAATTCGTACGGACAAGACTAGTCTAATAAGTTTCTTGTGAAGTGTCAGTGTATTTTGTGGATTTGTGGGATTCTCATTATGTAAATACTTTCTCTTTTATCGCCTGACTGCCCGTGTTGCGAAATCCAACAAAATGAATTTTTATACAAGCGCAGTTTCGAACAGCAGTTCAAACGGTACAGATGATGAAGGGTGTATGTTGATGAACACCACTCAAAATGTGATTATAACAGGTGCGTACAACGGTATTCCTCAGACTTTAATACTGAACTTGGTGTCGTGGACATGCCTCATTGCGTTGTTCACTGTGCTCCGGCGGACGGCGTGGAACTACGGGCGAATGGCGCTCGTTCAGCGCACGAAGAGCCGATGGACAAATCTATTTTACCGCGGAGGTGATGGCGATGCTTTAGTAAACAGAAGACGAAGCGCCGACGAGACCCTTAACATAGATGAAGGGTTCTTTACATGGCTGCCAGCAGTGTTCCGCCTAACTCGTGAGCAGGTTCTTTCCAAGTGCGGCCCCGATGCTGTACACTACCTCTCCTTCCAAAGACATGCAATAACATTGATGTTCATTGTGACGCTTGTGTCTATTGGGCTGATCCTGCCTATAAACTTCCAAGGCACTAATCTAAATGTGGACTCTAGTACCTTCAGTAGAACTACTTTGTCCAACTTGCCAGGGAGATCAAACTGGCTATGGGTACATACTCTAGTAAGCATCTCTTTTCTTCCAATATCTGTCCTGATCATGAGACGGTGTACAGGACGTAAACCTGTGCCAACATCCATGACTGGCACAATTATGATAACAAACATATCAAAAGCTGATAGGAATGAATCCACAATAAGAGCTTATTTTACTAACAACTTTCCTAACATTCAAATAGTAGATCTCAGACTTGCCTACAACATCAATATGTTAAATGAAGTGCAAGAAAAGAAAGATATGGTCACAGAAGCCTTAATATACACTGACTCTTACTTTAAGAAAACTGGGAAACGTATTACTGTGAAGGCTTCATGGTGTGGTCCAGAACTGGATGCACTGGAGTTCTACACCAATGAAGAGAAGCGACTTAAAGATGAAGCAAAAAGATGCAGAGCTATGGTCCTGAATGACCCTCTTGGTATTGCCTTTTTAACTTTACCGTCATACCAGCTTGCTGAACATGTAATCAATAACTTTAATTTGCATTATGGCTGGGTTTTGTCTCATGCAACAAACCCCTCTGACATAATTTGGGAAAACTTAAGTGTACAACCTGGTGTGTGGTACCTGAAAGCTATTGTAGTCAACTTCTTCTTATTTATTGTGTTATTCTTTTTGACAACCCCTGCAATTATTGTCAATCTATTCAATACAATGGTAGCAAAACCTGATGCTCTAGGAAAAATTAGCACTGTAATTTTTGAATTCCTCCCTACCCTGCTTCTGTGGACGATGGCTGCTGTCATGCCAGCTATTGTTGCATTCTCTGACAAATTTCTTTCTCACTGGACTAAATCCCAACAGAACTACTCCATCATGACTAAAACTGTTTCATTCTTATTGTTAATGACTCTGATCCTGCCCTCATTGGGTCTTGCCAGTGCTGAAGCATTTGTCAGGTGGACGATACACCACGAAAATGACCCAATGCGCTGGGATTGCGTATTTTTACCCGATAAAGGCGCATTCTTTGTTAATTACGTCATTACTTCGGGTTTTATCGGAACCGCACTGGAACTGATCCGGTTTCCGGAACTGTTTCTCTATGTTTGGTATTTACTACAGTCTAAATCTAAGGCAGAAAAGAGCTACGTAAAGCGAGCCATTCTTTATGAGTTTCCATTCGGAGTTCATTATGCTTGGAGCATAGCAATATTTTCAATTACGATGGTTTATAGCCTCGCGTGTCCGCTGATCGCACCGTTCGGCTTATTGTACATGATGTTTAAACACGTTGGTGATAAACATAATCTGTTTTTCGCCTACGGTCCGTGCGACATGAGTGGTGTTGGCGGTGGGAGGATCCACGCTACAGCCGTTAGACTTATTCGAGTTTCAGTTCTCTTACTTCTCGTTAACATGGCTGCTTGGGCTGGTTTAAGAGCAGGCTTTGAAGCTAGAACCATAATTTTGATAATGGCATCGATTGTTGCTTTTGGAACATTTTTGTTACTCAGCCCATTCCCGAGCTGCACACCTCCTGCCCCGCTGCAGGAAGAGCCTAGTATCAGATTCCCAGAGTACATTGCGCCTGCGTTGACTAAACCCATTGATTCTCCCCCTAGTACGGCAGCCACGACCCCGGATTATGGGGCTTCGTCACCTGTAACAACGCATTCTTATAGTCCCGACCCAATTAATATATAATTTGAAAATTAGTGAATTTCCTTTATCAAGTAATTTTTGCCTTAACTTGCGATCCGCTCATATCAGTGATAAACGAAACACATGAATGGGTGTAGTATTGGCGATTGAGAATGGAGCATTAGACTTTTAGAACAATGTAAATAACCAATGCAATATTTTTATATATATACATATACGAAGTTATTGTAGGGGTAGTCGACTGAAATCTTATGTTCGGATCTTTATTTTAGTGTACACTGTATTTTGTAAACTAAAATTAGTCGTTTGACCCACGAAACATTACGATTAATATATTATTTTACTGCTTTACACGAAGCACTTAATGTTTTTTTTTATTCTGTTGTGTACGTTGAACTTTGATCACGCTGCTACAAGCACTGTATTGTTACTAGGTTTAGATTAATGTTAATGGATAAATTTAGATCTATAAGGACCATTTTGGTTCAAAGAGTAATCGATACGCCTATAATGAAAACGTAATTGTACTTTACGCCTTAGACTTGTCGTAATCCATTGAAATCTTAGATCTTTGTCAGCCTATGCCTAAGACAGCAGTCCAGAACATAAGATGTCAGAATATTTGATTTTGTGATTGTTTTATGGCTGTCATTTTTATATTTCCTTATTCCTAGTAACTTATTAGACGATAATAATTATGCTTTATTTTTTGTACATAATGTAACGAGATCTTTCGTGTTATATTTAGGTAAATAACATCGTCGGTATCAAATAAACACTGGAATGTATTTGTTATTTTCCTTTAACCGAATTGCTCATTACGAAATACATATTATATAAGTATCTACTGTATTTTATTGTATTTATTAAAATATAAATGATACGGTTCTCCAATAGTTATTGGAATTGTTGCAATTGCTTAGTATTGCTACTAATGTTATATCTTGGCGAATGCATAGGTGCACTAGGCGTTATAATCTTCATTTTCACATTTAATGCTCCTAATTGGATTGGCATGCGGAGATCCGATTCATCTCAAGAGATTTACTCTATTTATTAAGAAATAACATTTTGAAAGAAACGTACTCTATTATCCTCAAATTGTGTTTACAACGTCGTTTGCCTAAACAACCTTTATGCCACAATTAGAGTTATTATTCAAACGGAAGAATACACCATGATAAATTACAATTATTCAAATACTAAATATTGTATATACAGTCATAGCTAGTAATATTACATATCAGTTTGTTCGAAGTTTCTTGCAAATCATTTCGCCACGTAACACTAATTAAATTCAGGCCAGAGCAACCTTCTAGTCGGTCATTTACTTCGCATGTCGCATGCTTACTCTAAAAAGTATCGCGAAGTAATAGAAGTAAGTAGTTATTACATCGCACCGAGCACGGATTATGATTTGAACCGGTCCGTTCCATTCCATCGACATCTGTAATACGATACAAGTTGATTCAACGCGTAGACGGACGCGAACAACCACATTCGGTGTGTCAAAGTTCCTTGGTCAGATCTCGTTCTAAGGTGTTATACATAACTATCGTCTGTTCGTATCTTTACGAAGCCAAAACAGCCGCAACTAATGCTGCTCTTAATTTCTGGCCGTGAAAATGCTTTCATATTATTGTAACATTATTTAATTTGCAAGTAGTTTTAATACATTGTCTTCCGTTGGTTAGATAAAAATATTGTTCTGAGACATGTCTAACATAGCCCAGTATAATATTGTGCATGACACTCAAGTCCAAATAGGTTAGTCATATCAAGTGCACGTGAAACATATTACGCATACTAATTAGCTATACTAGAAACCTTGTATAAGATATTAACGGTACGTTGAAAACCATCCTCCTTCATTCGTTAGTTACTGTTATCGTTAATGATCCAAATCACTTAAACATTTGAACGTAACATTCAGGTCAGTTTGTTATAAATATCTTGAAACACTTGTATTTGCGCGCATTGTTCGCGAAACATGAATTAATTGATGGTATAAAGCATAACCAGAGCCTATTTTCTGAAAGCAAATCAATTTATTGGCTTATCGTATCGTAAACGTGTATTGTAATGGGCTATTTAGCTGTGAACTATGAACCTGCGAATGTTTTCATATGGCTCTGAGAAGTAGACGACTCTATTCATAGATGAGCCGCGTTGTAATAGCATGAGGTTACAAGAAGACAAGGGCAAATATGCGATACATCCGTAAACCAATATGGCTTCCTCAGTGACGTCACTAAGAAAACTAAAGTAACTTAGAATCCTTCAAGAATTGTTTTTGTGTTGGTTATAACTTTACTGTAAATATTCATAATTATGGTAGAAAATTAAATATTCAAGTCAGGCATAAGAACACTAGAAAATTAAAAACCAATGAGAATTGATTCGTTACCTACCTAAAATAATTTTTATTTTATTGCTAAACTATGGCTTAACTTTAAAGTGAAATGCGACGTAGTTTACTATTTATGTTTTGTACAGAAACAATTTGTAGTGGTTATTTGTATCTAAATAATGTTGAAATCACGCCTGCCTAGTTATCTGCAGTAAAAATATTCCCTTCGAAAATTAACCCTATGACTAAAAAATGAATTCAGTAGCCAGTGGCTAACAGTTATCACTGGGACAGTTCAGCATGACATAAAATATCGATCTGTGAAGTTATGAACTCGTGACCCCTACAAGCGACAGGTTATTTCATACATAGGTATCACGGACCTAGGTTAGGATTTTTTTGTAAACTTTAACTGTACGCTAAAATATAGGATGTTGATAAAATATAATGCAAAGCGATAGTGCGATATCTATTCGCAGGACATGACATCATCCAATCTGTTTTTCTCTGATCAAATGATCATATTTATATCCTAGTCTGTTTTACACATCATTATTTCTATAGCTTTACTTACGTTGTGGTTTTTCGAGGCAACGATAATCTTTCCCAAAGAAATTCTATGTCATTTAAAAATGTGATTGCTTAATTTATTCTCATCAATTGACATTGAAGAAACGAGTTTGTTGATGTTTTTTTTTTGTTTTCACATTAGGAAAACTAAACTTGTTTCGAAGTTAACCGCTCGGTTGGGATGTTGAAATCACATTCCGAGTTGATGGAAAATATTCCGAAATAATTTCCTTTGGTTGAAATGAAATATTGGGGAAACTGTCTAAAAATGGCATAACCTTTGTAGTAGGTAGTTGGTCGCCTGGTCTCTTGTTTTCAGACCAGACCAGAGCCAATAAAATCAGGTCATTGAACGTAATATCAGTGAATGTTTTATGAAAACCGTAGACGCGAAAATAATAATTCACCATATGGAGATAAAATATTTACAAAAATTTTATACTGTTACCAAACAAACATTTCAGCGGAAAGGGGATTTTCAATATGATTAACGACGTGTTTTTATCGGACTACTCAATTAGTCAATTATAAATAATACTTATCCACGTCACACAATCGAAACGATATGGTTACATTTTATCTTTATTGGCACGTTTCTGGTCACGCCGAAATAATTACTGCGCTACCAAAACAGTTGAGCAAACTTACATGTTTGTTGAGACACGAGTACATAAGAATTTGACCAATTTGTGACTCAAAAATTGAAAATAAAAGCCGTATTATTCCCCTCGTCTGCCTTCGCTTAACCAAATCAAGCACTGACCTCCGTTTTATGAATCATACACCAACATAATCTTTTATTCTACACAGTCCACATTTTTAACCTTTGAAGTGTTAATCTATGCGGTCAACTGTACTAATATTTTCGAATCTCCTTGATAAAACAAACGACAGCTTTACACGCTAATAATATATTTATTTTATCAAGGTACCTATTTGTTGGCATTGGTGATAAGAGGTGAGCAAATTGGCTTTTCCTTTATTAGAGGCACTTAATACTTACACACAATGGGTTTTTACGTTACACAAATTACTTTGGACAATTGCTAAGTAGCTGATATTAAAGCAAACTAGATTTATTTCAATTCTCATAAAATCTGGTGATAGAATAGATTTGCGTGCTCTGTAAATGGATTTTATCAGAAGTGAAACGTTGCGTCGCAGAAATATTCTGATTATTGGATTATACCATGGACGTGAGGTCATTCATTCATTGACAAGTTCCTACCCATGTGCGTCATCGTTGCGTCTCTTTTGCCCTTTCTGAGTTCTTTGACTCAATGGAAAATGCCAGCTTTTCTTTAATAACGCCCGTTCCATTTTGTAGACGTGATTGATATTAGAGTCACTTTCAAAAGAACTATGGCTTTTCAGAGATTAGAGTTTTAATCAAAGAACTACGTTTCAAGAAGCTCATAGCAAAATACGAGAAACCACCGAATGGCTAGACTCTTATCAGACTTAGTTCGTTGACTCAGATAGGTGCCGGTGTAAACACAACAAAACAGAATCATGTCTTTCTATAATGACAAATTTTTCTAACGCGATCTTTTCAAATTGATTTGAGATTTTTTCCAATGAATGATCTATTTGGGTGACATGTTAATCAAATTAGGTTTCATGGTTAGTGTTACTACAACTAAAGTGATTCTGTGATTCAACACGCTACTGTAATTAAATCAGTCGGTCTATCAACGAATAAATATGCAAGCCGAAATTAACCATGTTTGAGTTCCAACGGTGACTAATAATTGATTGATTATTTGGATTTACGAAGAATAGAAGCTGTTTTCCTGTCGAATAGGGACTCAAATAATTCAAAATACCAACTCATAAAATAATAACGTTTCTATAACGGAGCAATGCGTTCTGCATATATAACATGATGATGTAAAGTTAAGTGGTATGTCTTTTGTATAATAGGTACATGCAATTCTATGTACAGCATAACTACGTACATGACAAATAAATACGTATATACATATATAGATAAAATGTCCGAGTTTAATAACAAATAATAATTAGTCCACAATGTTGTAAGTGGGTTTTGTAAATAACATTCGTTTTTAATCAATAATGTGTTATTAATTGATTCTTCTTGAGTTTTTTAATCTTTAACATATTTTTTTACTTATTCATTTGTGTTTGTTTGATAATAAAAAGGCCTTGTAGACTAACGCACTGTATGCTAAATATTGTGTAGGTTTGTGATACGTATCAATAGCTACAGTTGCATGTAAAGGTATTATATAACTTCTGGTACCTATTTTTTGGGTAATACTTATCCGACTAAGTGGATTTAAGCCAAATTCGTCGATTTTATTTTCCTTTGTACGTCTTCCTCCGGATATTTCCAAAATATCTTCCTTCTATTCAAGTGATTAGAATACCAAGTTGCCAGACAGATGGCATTGACATTTTCTTTGCTCTTGCGCTTTCGAAAGGTTATTTGTTTGTTTTATTTACATCTTGTAAGATGAGATAAAGATCTTTATTAACCTGGCTATTTGCCTTATCATAATCTGCTCAGATAACCATTCAAAAATGATCAATTGTGTGTAAACAACAATGTGTTTACACCTTTGTTAAACATATTAAAGTTTCATTTGTCAAATCAATTGTATATATCTTATAAATGTTGCGATTGTGTCATATCGCATTGGAATTTGAAACAAGTTAATTGTAATTTGTTTATGATAATTGTACCAATTTGTATCTGTTAAATATTGTATGGAAAATACTGACGAAGAGACCTAAATGTAAGTGTTTAGTCTACCTAAATACCTTAGTGAACTTTATCTATTTCTATTGTAAGTATAGTACACGGCTCTTGTTTGTAAATCACTGCGTTTTATAAGTATTGTCATTTATAATAAGCTTTTAATTATTTAAACTTAATACTTATAGATAAATAATATAACATTGTTTTATAATACTGTGTTTCATTTGATCATGACCCAAGAAATTAGAAAGGCGGTAAGAATTATTGGGTTGTGTCCAGGGTATCAAAATTAAAAATCTAATTAGTCCCTCAGTTGGATAATGAAAAAATATTAGACACGTATTTTTTTATTTTCTCGTATTAAGTTGCAATACTTAGATAAAATGGCGCTAGGTTTAGGAGTGGGAGGTCGTTACGTCATAACGTGCTACAAAATGTGACACGTTGTGACGTCACACTCACACGATTTTCAAATTAAACTGTCAAACACCGCGAGGACACCGGTGACCGCAACCTATTGTTCTATAATTGTGTCTATAATGACGGTACTCGACGAGTTAATATATCGTCGAAAGTATTTAATTTTGTGAGAAAAGAAAAAAATATGTGTCTAAAGTTTTAAATTAATGTACCTACCAGACGGACATTATAATCAAATTTAGGAAACTACCCTATTGGATTCGGTACACTCGAGTGCTAATGTATGAAATGGGACACCGAAGTGGTTTTTAGTCAGTCTTCTTCGTCTTCCCTGGGCGGAGCTACATGAACATTTTATACCTTGAAAACAAATGAAAAGGTTCCGAAATACATATTACAAGACTCTCGTGACGTAATATTCGCTCCCTGGCTTCGTACCATGATGTTGGATTAAGTCACAGCCTGAATATTGTTTTGGGTATCCTTATAAAATTCCTAGCAGTTCTTCATTGCCCTTCAAAGGCAATCATAACAGGGAAGACGTAACGCAAAACGCAAAAAAGGAGAGAGTATACCTATGTAAGTATGATGCTTATCATTCAGTAATCAACGAAATTAATTGTGACCAACCACGCCGATTTGATAGTAACGATAGTAGGTACTAAGCCACACGTGACTTATTGAGTATCGGAAAGTCGGTGCTACGTAGCAATAAGTAGGTAAATTTTTGTGGAATAGCTGGAACTGCTGGTAAGCAATCGGCGCCGCCTATAATAGACAACAATTACCAGAGAAGTTACAAGTGCGCTGCCGGCGTTTTGAAGTTACTAAAATTGAAGCACTAAAACAAATAATTTCTATACTACACTATTGGTACAATAGTTAACTATTATATGTGTCAAACTTCGTGACTTTGAAATCGTGGTAGTTATTCTATTATACCTACTACCAACTTTGTATAGCACCTATATAAAGTTATAAAGGTGTGTATAGATAGAGTATGTATAATAAATTAATAATATTGTGATAGCGAACAAGACTGTCGATGAAGAATGCCTATTATTGTAGGTAATTACCATACAGCTCTCAAACTGAATACACATATACATACACGTATGCTTCTTATACTTAACCAGTACTTGTGCAATATAAATAGATAGAATGAACATTCTTTTTTTAAGATGGGAAAATCATCGAATCGTTGCTCCCGCTTGGGTGAGGCGGGAGCCAGTGTCAGACTCTTACTGACTAAAAACCACCCCGTTCCTTCTCCTGCACGTCGAGCCGGAGCCCCGGTTACCCGTTAGGTTCTCCGCGACTAGAATGAACATTGCGGATGACTTTTTCTATAAAGGTAGGTAAGAAATTAGGAAAGGAAATTCTAACACGCACGTCCTAGGTTATATACCCACACCAACCAGAATAGGGTTAAGAAAAGTTTTCACGTAGGCAGATAAGAAAGCAAGTGTTTAGTTCCAGAAAACGTGCTTTTATCCATCATCGGGAAACTTCTGTCATTCACACGAAAGTAAACCTATTATGTAGGTAGACACTGGACTTACGAAAAAACTAATATTCGCCAAGGTACACTTACTTACTACGGCCCTATAAATTGGGCTACAAATTGCAAAGAGCTCGAGCGCACTGGATTCTGAGTCATATTTTATCACTCCCACTTATTGGAATTAGAAGGTCATTCATTCATTGTGTCATCGTCTGAGATAGGACAGTTGAGTGGAATGAATCTGTTACACTTTGTATTGCAAAGCAATAGAAACGCATCAAAAAGTAGGTCACCATACTTTTAAATGAGAAACCAGTTGCACTGCCATTGTTTTACATATTCATGTAATTCACGTGTTCATACCTAACCTGACCAGCGTCCCGTTTTGAATTGACTGTCCCATTTTATATTTAGGTACGTGTCCCGTTGTCCCCTAAATGAACTCTGGGACGCAAAATTGTCCCATTTTCGGAAAACATCGAACCTAGACATGCGACGACTGATCGGACGGCTCGAGCAGTGTAGGTACGAGAGCGATACAGCGTCATACGTAACTTGCAATTTTTTTATGAAATACAGTCGAAAACACTTTAAACATTTTTGTGCAGTTGTTAAGTTAATATTTTTGTTGCGGGCACGAATAATTTTGTTTTTACCAGTTCTTTAATAGGATCTAGCTACTACAGGTATAATAGACGCCTGACTGAATCGAAATAAATGAATGTCTCGTTTTAAAGTTAAAAAGTAAATGGTCACTTTATTCTTACCGCAGGTAAATAATAGTTAGGCACGAGGGGGTACCTAAATGTAGGTATACTCACCAAACAAACTCCCTACCAGTAGCGTAACTACAGGTTGGCAAGTCAACAAAAGCAAAATGCCACGTGACCTCAGCTGGAAGAGATCCGTTCAGAGGTTCTCATCTGGACCTTTCTATTTTTTATTGGGAATGGGAGCCCATCGACATTTGCTACGAGCCCTGAATGGTATAGTTACGCCATTGCTCTCTACAGCTTCCGTCTTTTCGATATAATTTAGGTTTTCCTACTAAGAGTATTTACTTAGGTACTCAATAGTTTATTTTATTAGTATACTGTTCATGCATGTTCTTAATTAACGTAAAACCTGCTGAATCAACTAAAGGTAATACAGTGGTCGTCACTTGTGGATAGATTGACTCTCGCAAGAGGACAAGGATATTTATTTATTTAACAAAGATGTACCATACCAATATACGTAATACCTACCTAAATCATTTTTTTTTTAAGGGGGGAAAATCATCGAATGACTGCTCCCGCTTGGGTGAGGCGGGAGGGAGTGTCAGACTCTTACTGACTAAAAACCACCCCGTTCCTTCTCCTGCACGTCGAGCCGGAGCCCCGGTTACCCGACCTACCTAGACCATAGGTATAAACCGTGAAGATCTGGTAGAGATTCTGTGTTAGAGGTACCGCGAGCGAATATACGTAGGTAGTTTTAAGAGGCAGCGAAAGCAATCTGCATACGGTGTCAGCTAAAACTTTAGTGGTGGCCAATTTTATCAAATTCTAATAGCCCAGTTTATAGGCTTAACTCAAATTCTAATGAATCATAGGATTCCAGGATACTTTTCGTACTAGTCAGTGACTGAGTAAGACATAAGCAAATAATTAACGCAGGTATGATCATAAATTGATGTTCTTAGTCTTACATAAGTAAGTATAAATAGTCAGTTATATTCGGTCAATGTCATCATAGTGGGGGATGCGAGCGAGCATAATTTAGTAGGTACCAATGTTTACCTTATTCTAAGCGGTTAAGAATCCCAATTGCACCTAACTAAGGAAAACAAAGCCAACGGAAATAAGTTCCAATGTTTTGCTATTGCGCAGGATTCGAATCTATGAATGAGGCGCAGCAGTCAATTATTCTTTTAAGTAAATCGGTAGGGTATATTGTAACGTCCGGTTTACGTTAAGATTTCACTTAAAACAATGTTTTAGCAATTGTTACGGCGGCCTTGGGCTTGGCATTATCATTGCCTCCATAAAACTCATTACCTAATTTAACGTCAGTCAGCGCCATCTAGAGGCGTTTGAACACACTCTTAACTAGAGGCGCGCTAATAAAATCATGGATAATTTATTCAACTATTTGTAAACTGGTTCGTTGTTTAACCAATAACGTTACGTTGCTAAAGTGAATAGTGGGTATAAGTACTTACCCCTAAACTCTTGGAACAACAGATATTGCCTTCTAATGAAAGTCTAATAATCTACAGAAAAAACATCTAACCGTTACTCAAAAAGGGCTAAGAGTCCTACGAAATATGTTAAATACTGGGTATAATCCCACTTTGTCGTTCTAGAGAAATTATTGACTTTTACACTTCCGACCACTCTATAACGAGACTGTCTAAAAAATGGTCTTTTAAACATGGATAACTGGACAAAAAAATGTGCCTTTGTTACATTGTAGGTATTTCTATGTGATGAGATGAGCATCTCTGATTGTCACTTTGGGGATTACACGAAAAAAAACAAGCAAGCACTCACATCAGTACCTGCTTACCTACGTTATTGCGAAAGTAAATAGAATAGCATACTAATTTAGCAGTGTTTTGTAACTAGGCTAAGAGTTAATTGTTGCGAATGATATTGACTATTGTTATTTTATTCTTACTAATATTATAAATAAATTGTTAGTTTGTGTGTTTGTTTGTGCTAAAGAGCCTTCCCCAATCTCCCAAATCCTTGAATCCCCAACAAACTTCAAATTCCTAATCCCCAAAAGGTCGGTAACGCACTTGTAACGCCTCTGGTGTTCTAGGTGTCCATGGGCGACGCCGATTGCTTACCATCAGGTGATCCGTCAGCTCGTTTACCGGCTTAACCCACAAAAAGGGATCTAGTGGAATTATGGAACATGCATATGTTATGGTCTAAGAATAACGCATAGTCTACTTTTTACCCCACGGGAACGCGGCCGAGGCCCCGAGTGAAAGTTAGAGTAAGTGTTTATTTTATACCAAGGCAATTCGTTTGCAATATCGATTTTTCTGTCATAAATACTGGAAACACTAGCAACTACTACTTTACTTCATCAACTATATAACAATAAAATAAATAGTTAATTTTGTTATAAACGCGTGGGAAACAAGGGTTTTCACAATCAATGGAGGTGCTGGTGTAGCATAACATTCAATTTCAAACTAATGAATGTTACCTATAACTTCGATACTCAATTTACAGGTCATCTCATGCATTGGTGAGAACAAAAACGATAATTTTCTTTTATGCTACTAGGATCAATATAAGAAATACATAATGACTTATAAAAAACTTTTTATTGTTCATATAAATTAATATTAACAAGATGTTGATGTACATAACTAATGGAGTGAAATAGACAACAGCTAATGTAATTTGGTTTTAATAAACAACTAAAACATCCAATTGGGAAACAAACTCAACAAATCAATTGGCATACTCACAAATCTCATGATGACTAAAATGTATGAAATCACATAGTTATAATAATTATAGGTATAAAAACCATAACTATAATAATTCCATGTAAGTATGAAGTATTCCAAATTATGATAAATAATTTAATTGTATCAGTCATGTGTTTTCCAAACAACATTAGCGGTTACCTAATTATCTAACTATGAACTAATGAGCCTTCTTTGGCTTTGCTAATTTCTCGTATTTGCTCTTGGAAGAGTACCATAAGCCGAAGGGGATGGCTAGAGATGGGAGGGTCATGACTGCGAATGCGGCCCAGTCCAGGATGTGAGAAGAGAACTTGCGGTCGTAGTCCTTGAAGGCAACGATAGCACCTTCTCCGGGAGAGCTGCTGATTGATTGCTGAACCTGGAATGAGAATAATTTATATTTTTTAATAATGTATTTTGTAATAATTTATTACATTTGTGCATATTTATAACTTGTTTATGGTGAGTGGTAATCTATGTCCAGCAGTCAAAGTATATGTTCATGAGTAAGATTTTGTTAATAGTTAATGTTAGGAATATTAACTCGTCGAGTACCGTCATTATAGACACAATTATAGAACAATAGGTTGCGGTCACCGGTGACCTCTTGGTGTTTGACAGTTTAAAATACAAATAAAAGATGTTAAAATGTCAGATTATTGTCAAAAAATTCTATAAACAAGAATGTAATTTTTGGGTATGCCCAAAATTACATTGTCATGTTTATATAGACATATCGCTGAGTCCGTAACAACGATAGTCTATGTGAAACAATACCGGTTCAAAAGGTTTATATTTATTACACTTTAGAAGTTATAGTTCTATTTACTGTATAAAAATCTGTGATTAGTAGCCTATTATGTAAGTTTATTTATTTAAAAATCTTTATGCACACACATAAGCACATAGGTAGACTAAATGCCATAGGTATTTTCTACCAGTCTGACCCTTGGGTGATGCATTGTTATATCCTCAATGGATATTTACATTTTTAAATTACTTGACTTCTTAATGGAGTATGCTCCAATAAGTAGTAGATTAGAGTTAATAATATATTGATATACACATCATCAAGAATAGTCTTATAAGAATAATCTTGATATTAAATGTAACTAACTAGTGTAAGTAGTACCTTCAAAGAGAAAGTACCATTCATACAGTTAACAGTTCATTGTTTTGACCATATGCTGAGATTTGAAACAATTTCTTGAAATGGTACATGACTGAAAAGTGAAAGTAAGTGAAGTCTTACCTCAGTGGCATCTTCGGTGGCTTTGTATGTGACTTCAGCAGATGTGAAGTTGAAATATCCATATCTGCTGGACCGGACGGTTACGACGTGAGAGACATTGGTCTGAGGAGGTATCCTGTCGATGTGCGCTGTCAACTGTCCGCCAACAACTTGGAACACTTCGGGGTGGAAACCATTGTCAACCAGCTTCACGTCTACAGCGGGCGCGGTACCGACGTTAAACAGCGTGTATTTAATCAAAATATCCATATTTTCCACTAAGTATTTGTTCAGCACTTGCTTCGAAACAAGTAGCCTGGCGATCGCTGGTTCATCTTCTGCTGTCACAGCAGTCGCGATGATGAGGATCAAAGATAGCAGCTTTGCGCTCATTGTGCCTGAAAATTGAAAATAGAAAAAATATAGTTGGGAACTGAAATAGGTTGGAAACGTAAGTATTCCAATTCGAAAATTTTGAATGAAAAACACTTGCACGCTATTTTTATATATTAGTTACTGATAGAAAGTTTATTACTTGTAATTTTTAGATGAAATTTATTTAAACTTACCTTATTTTACGCTTATTATTAAACAACTAAAATCAAATTCGCTAAGCGGCACAGAGATGATCGGTGACAGTCGTTCGTACGTGGCTGACGTTTCACTCCACGCAGTCAAAATACTTGCCAGGAATAAAATAGAGGTACAGTTACAGTAGCGTTCATTTTTTTATACTAGTACCTTATGATATAAATATGTTTTAATTATCACTAACTTTAAATTGTGCACATAAAGGCAACATTTATTTATAAAAACAACCACAATATTAAAAGACCATATTATTATAGTAAATAATTACTATATTTTTTAATTTCCTGACATAATTAGGGCAGACGAATTTAGAACGCGATTGTTGAACGCAGTTTCGCAACAACTGTCAAAAATACGTGTTTGTTTTCTCGTAGGTTGAGAATTTATTGAAAATGGATATCTGTGGATATTTGAAATAGATCTAATGAATATTTATACGTTAATGTAGTAGTTAATAACTAGCTGTAATTTAAACTATGACAGAGAAAGAAGATGTTACCAATGAACCTGAAAAAGAGCCATTAGACGATGAAGCCCTAGAAAAGTGAGTTAATTACTATGTTTATTATTTTATTCGTCTTCTCCAGTTGTGTAAAATGAAAACTAAGTTCCCAGGCTCATAATTTGTTTATATTTTTCAATAAACTATTAGGCCACTATTCATTTATGGATATTGTTACTTTTCATTGTCAATGTAGGTAGGTTGTTATTGTTAATCTGTACAATTAGTCTAGACTTGTAAAGTAATTGAACATTATGTTTTATTTTCATCGACTTTGATGAGATGAATGTTAACTATGTTCGATTTTTTTATACATAAAATATAATGAAAGTAATATTGGTTTGTCAATACTTTTCAGATTGGCAGTTGAAGAATTGTTAAGAGAAGCAGTTCAAGGTGCTGCTAGGGCTGAAATAGTTGGCCCGTCTGGTTGGATCAAAGCTCCACAAAATAAAACTAATAAGCGCTTCTTAGTTAACACTTTGCGTAATGCTGTAAGTTCCAGTAAGTATCACTCCAGGTCACGCAGATCACATTCGCACAAATCCCCTAATCGTGAAAAACATCTAGAACCCTCAATTAAAAAAGATAGATCCAAAAGAAAACATTAAAATGGAGGAATATAATGTAGATAATGTTTTAAAAAATATTTTTGATGTTACTGAAAATAATTGGAAAGCTTCTGAGAAGATTCCTCTTGTATCCAAAGAAATAGAACAATTAAAAAATGATTTCAAATCATTACTGGCATCTACCGATTATGACATGACATCAATACTCCAAGAGAGTGTCACATTATGTAATGAGACACAGAGTCTTGCTGAGGAATTGGATTTATGTAAACTAGAGATAGAACAAGAAACGATGGCTGATGTTCTCAAATCCTTGGCTAAACGGGATGAGATACAACATGAACTCACATCTGTTAATTTTGCCATTGATGTAGTGCATGATGTCCTCCTTTGTGGGAACTTTGTGAAAGAGATTGAAGACAGCAAAGAATCACAGAGCTTCAGTAGAGCTATAGAAGCTGTTTATGATCTCCTGCAGCACTCAGAGTCTCCATCTGAAGGATTTAAATACCTAGAAGTGTACAACACTACAAAATCCATTGCTAATTCTATTAAAGACACATTACTTACTGACCTGCTTACTGAGTGGACCCGAATGATGACATGGAACATTAAGGCAGGTACTCGCAAAACTGTTATCACTATAACATTGTGCTTTGATGAGTCTCTTGCTGTGGTCGATATCCTGAATGCTCTTGATAGAAGTGGAGCTTTGGCCGATAGAGTCTCAGAATTCGCCCAATTTTTACTGAAAGAAGTTCTGGTACCAATTATACACACCGAGGTGACTGTTTATGATGAAACTCCTGAACTGATGACTGTCACTATAATGCACAAAACGAATTATACACAAAGATATGATGCTGTCATATCGAACCTAAGATTACTCTTCCATTACTTGAACAATAAGCTGAATGTTGACTTCAAGAGAGACACAACAATCATGAGAATGATTGGTAAAGAGATCAATGCAGAATTCAAAGAAATACTCACAAGAGATTGTCTGCTTGATACCATACCAAATAACATAAATGATTTGCAGACTTATGGAAGAATCACTTCAGAAATTGAAGATTTTCAGAACTTCTTAGTGTTAGTAAAGTTTTGTAATGAGGACTATTCAATTTTGCAATATTTAGATAATATTGATGTTTTGTTTGCAAATAAGGCGAGCTTGCACTTTTTAGAGACTGCCAGGACTATTATGCTGAAAGATTTGAGTGCTACAATGTCCATTGGAGTGGAGCATGTTCCAAATGAAGTGCTTGAGATAAAGCCTGATGAGGAAGGTGCAGAAGCTTTGAAATTACTTGACAAAATATTTCCTAAGAGTTTGTTCTTCTTCCCGAGGTGCATGATATCGAAGACAGCTCAGGAGTTATTGGATCTGTTGTATGGAATGATGGAGCAAGCTGTGCAGTGTTCAGATACAGTCTGCAAGAAATTATACAATACCACAAGGCTGGTGTTTGAGCTGTACGATGCTGTGGTGCCATACCACCATGAGAACTATTTGCAAACTATCCCACAGTATGTTGGTAAGTTATTGCAGTATAATACTTATATTATCGGTTCAGTTTTATTTTGCTGTCTCACACTGGTACTAACTGCTTTGTCTCTCCTTCCAGCACTTTTCCACAACAACTGTATGTTCCTCGCGCACAACCTCCAGATATTTGGCGATAAATGGCTGACTCTCATGGAGGGACGAGAGTTGGACTATCCCATTGGCTTCGTTGACTTGGTGCAGAAAATGCGCGACCTTGGCTACAAGCACCTCACCATACACATGCAACAACAGAGGAAACAAATACTTGACAATATTAGGTCTTCCGGTTAGTGTGTATATTTTTTCTCTATTTTCATTATTTTTTTAATGTTACATTCTGGGATTTTTTCCTGTGTCGTTGGTACGTTTACAAATATGTACAAAACACATGAAACCCAGACATGTTTAGTAGATCACACAAGGAGTAGCTCCGTGCGGGTATCGAACCCGCTACACGTCGGCCGGTTGCCCAGCTACCAACCGTGCAGTCTAGAATCTAGGAATTAGAAAATAGTTTTTATGAGATATTTAGTATTATTTAGGTAGCCGTAATGGTAATTTTGTGCTGCTGGTGAAAAATTGAATTAATTGTTCACAAGTATACTAAAATACAAACTGTATTGTAGAAAAATATTTATTTAATAAAAAATATGAACCTTTCGACTAACATTTTTCAATAATCTTTTTCCAGATCTCAACTGCATCGTTGTGAAAGACGTGTTGAGTGATAACGCGGAGGCTGCAATTCGACAGTGCCTTCGACAATTGCATTTACTGAAGAATGTCTGGATCGGTGTCTTCCCAAAAAATGTTTTCACGAGGTAAAGTTTTCGAAATTCGAAAGTCTCAATAATCATTCTCTCAACTGCTCCATTGTTGGCTGCTTACCATCAGGCGAGAGAAAGTGGTCAAAACGCCTTTTTAAACAAGATATTAATCAAAATATGGGTGTATTTTTTCCAGACTCATGGCTACCCTAGTGAATATGTTCTTGGACGAGCTGATCCACCGCGTGTGCACAGTGGAGGATATTTCCATGGAGATGGCCACACAACTGACTGAGATGTACACTATCGTTGTGCAGAAAGCTCCACAACTGTTCCAGGTAACTTTCTATAGAAGAAAATTAGGGAGAATGAAGGCCCATACATTAGGGAAAATTTGTCGTAAATTGAGTTACGCCATTAAAACTAAAATCGCTGTGCTGAAAAGTTATAATCTCATGTTTTGTATTCATAATATTATAATGTCTAACTGAAATATAATTTATTTCCAGGCTCCAACAGATATTGAAGAACACGTAAAATCCTGGATTAAGCTCCAAGAGTTGATCTTCATACTAGGCGGGTCACTCAAGGATATCGAAAATCACTGGAAGGACGGCACTGGCCCCTTAGCGGTACATTTCAAGAATGAAGAACTCCGCAGTCTCATCAAAGCCCTGTTCCAAAATACGCAGATGCGTGCGAACCTTCTATCCAAAATAAAGTAAAATATTAATATATTTGATGTCAGTATAACTCTCTATTCGTGTTTTATAGTGTTAAATGTTTTAATATTTGTCATTTCATTTACAACTTTTAAAAAATGGGGGTTACTGTATTTTTGCTTAACAGTTGGTGCTAGTGTGAACCTCCTGGTTTACGTTCATTGGGAATTAGTCACGCCATTGGACGTTCTATATTTGACAGCTGCAGTGATTGGATAAAAACCTCTTGCTACATTAGCTCCATTTGGTGACCAAAAAAACGGTAGCCCCCGTTGTGTGAGAATTTAATGTCATTTAAAACAATATGACAATAGATACTACCTAAATTGTAAAACATAATCCAAATAAATGTATACAGGAACAAAACATTGTGATTGTATTGGTTCCACTGTTTTTTTGAGTTTCTTTTATTAAGTACCTACATTACCTTTATTAAATTTAGGGACTATAGTTTTACCATAACTTTAAATTGAAACCAATATTGAGTACAATATAATAATAATATATCGACCGCATGTTATTCGTTCGTTATGGGTTGTGAGATCCTATCGTTGCTTGAAATTGGTCGAGTTCGAGCACTACCCTTGTCTAATTCATTAACCTATTAGTACGAAAACTTAGTGTGAAAACCTTTTTAGGTTTCTCCGAGGACGTTTTCTTAACTTCTGCATGACTTCTGCAGAAGAATCCATAACCATTCTATAATATAAAAAAAATCGTTTCTTTTGAAGTAATGGAACGTGAAACGTCATTTTCACAAAGTTTGACTTGACGTTTCAAGTTTCAAAAATTACGCGATTTTGTTTAACGTCAATGATATATTTATTTTCCGCATTATAACCTAAAAATACAAATTCTTTTATTTGAAATGTGCTAAAGTATATCAAAATGAATAAAATTAAAGTGCTGTTACGAAATAGGGGTCTAAATGTGGTCCAGGGCCGCTATTATGCAACAACAAAAAAGAAAATTCCTGATCCTGATGAGGAGGAATCTCTACCAAGTACTTACTACATATTTCATTAATATTTTTTATTATTGATTGATAACTAAGAATCCAGTTTACGTGCTTTGTTTATAATTTATAACTATTAACTTAATTAATGTACTTCTCCGAATATTTATAATTGCATACATTACACTGAAAAATAATATTTTTGTTCCAGTTTAGATAAAATTTATTTATGCGCAGTGATAACTTAAAATCATTAAAATATGTGTAGTAATATTAAATCACACTTTGATATTTGTGTCAGTGGATCATCTAAGGGACAGATTTATTTATCTGTTGATTAATTTCTTGAAACTTGTACAGTTTTTCAGTACCCTACAAGTAAGTCGTCAGATCGGAATATGTACTCATGGGGGCTTGCAGAGACAGGAGCGTTAGGCATACACATGCCTCGAGGAAATAAGAACAGGAAACAATATAGGAACAACTTCTCACTCTGCTGGTACCCTATGAGATCTAGCTTTGCAGAAAGATTTGATGTAAGTCCCTTAGAATAAATATAAAGATTACTCAGTTTATTTCGCTTTGCAGCTATTAAATATAAGGAGTATACTAGAATAAATTAACTATGGGTATAAATAACTATTTCAGGTGGAACATATTGCTGCAGGGTACGGCTTCACAGTAGCTTCCATAAAAACAAATGAGCAACATAAAGTTTTTGGCACAGGCATCAACACAGACTCACAAATAGGCTATCATGCCCCTCGCATGGGTCATCCCTTGGAGTTACTACTTAGTCCTGCACCAATATTTTTACCTTACAAGTCATTGGAAACTAAGGTACAGTTTTATTACTGAAATTTATAAAAAAAGTAGGTACCTATAGTATTTGTAATTCTTATAAACTGTGACACAGGATTAATTGGGATTAAAGGACACTGGCAGTATAGTTGACAACATTGTATTGGTGTAAATTGTAACATAGGATTAATATTGACACCGGCTGTATAGTCGATAACATTGTATTGCCAACTCGGATCGAACGCAATTTAGATAAAAAAGAATAGGTCAATTCCTATGCCTCTGCTATATTTATTACATTTTTCCCTGTTTTATATGGGTGATGTGGTCCCTAAGTCTCCTAAGTTTCTTCTAAAACCCCTTTTACAAAAATAAAACAATATTTTTTTAGATCATCGGCATAGATGCAGGCCGCGCTCACTCAGTTATAGTGACAGATAATGAAGGAGTATTTACTCTAGGCAATAACGCATATGGCCAGTGTGGTCGTAAAATCAATCCGAATGAGGAGTACAAAGGGAGCATGGTGTCTTATAATATCAAGAAGTTGGGCAAAGAGAAGATTGCCAGTGTCTGCTGTGGGCAGGATCATACGTGAGTATGTGGATTATGGAATTATTTGTAAGGATCTGGTGTTGGAGTATAGAGATATATCTATTTTGTTATCATATCATTCCTGCAGTATTCCTTGATATGGTAATAAATACTTACCTCTTTATGTTTTATTTTTTCAGCCTATTTATAACTGAGAGTGGCAAGGTGTATGCTTGTGGTTGGGGAGCTGATGGCCAGACTGGGCTCGGTACATTTGATTACCAAGCTATACCAGCCCTAGTGCAGGGCGACGTCACGTCGGAAAAAATTGTGAAGGTTGCATCTACTGTTGATTGTGTACTGGCTTTAAATGGTAGGAATGTAAACTAAATATTTGTTGATACTTACTTACTCTCGAAGTGATAAGAAAGAGTAACACAGAAGTTTATTAGAAGTAGTTGAAATGCAAAACATAATTAAAACCAGAACATAGAACCCTTTATTTTTTATATCAACTAAAAATACACTCACTTACGTCAATGTACTGAGAAAAGCTCTACTAGTTTCGAGTCTCTCATTGGGACTCTTAAGCAGCGAGCGCGGACCAGGCGACACTCATCGCGAAGCCTTCTTACTTTTTATTACTTGTTATTACTTGTCTAGTGCGCATGTGCGTCACATGCGATTATTCGAACAATGGGAGTCCTAAAAGTTTAAAATGTTATTTTGTTTATTCAGATAGAGGTGAATTGTTTGGTTGGGGCAACTCAGAGTATGGTCAGATTCCAATGAAGTCTGGTACGCAACAAGTGAACATGTCATACTCTCTGCGGGAGTTTACCCGTGGCTTGGGCAAGATAATTGACATAGCAGCTGGTGGTTCCTTTTGCTTGATTGTAAATGGTGAGATACAAAAGTAAGGTTTATTTTTATAACCCTTTTCAGAAACATTATTGACCGTTATTTTCTATTTTCACAGAGGCAGGTGATGCTTTCGTTTGGGGTTTCGGTTTGTTAGGACTCGGCCCCAATGTGGAACACTCCAAAATACCAAAGCAAATACCGAGTCCTTTATTTGGACGAAACGAGTTTAACACAGAATCCCGAGTGGAGAAGGTAGCTTGTGGCATTGGGCATTTAGCAGCTATAACTAATGATGGACATTTATACATGTGGGGTAGAAATAGACAAGGCTGCTTAGGCCTTGGTTCCAGTAAAGACCAATACTTTCCGTTGAAAGTCTCCATCGGTGGATTTGTTATGAAAGTTATTTGCAGTGTAGACCATTCTGTTGCAATCTGCAAGCCATTTACGTAATTTATTGATATTTTCTAAGACTTGTTAATAAATAAAATATTATGTTACAATATGTTATGTTGTTTTATTTTGATTTTGATACAGATTTATTGAAAATGTATGTAATAAATACAATAAAAACATGAATATTATATTAACATTATAACTTGTTTATGTCTTATGATACTGCGTAAAACTTTAGTCAAAATGGATAAACTGAATGAATGTTTTATAATTATAACAGACAGTTGTTTTACTTTCTAATCTTTATAAGCTATTACAATAAATTGTAAAACATGAGCTATTTAAATACTTATTAATGAAATTCTTCATCCCATGCTAACATAGAAAATTATGTTGTATGTTTGAATGTGATGAGATGGGGGGCTTAATACTATACTATTTCAAGACTTTCATAATATGTTTAAAGTTTACCGGATGTGTATGATATTATGCTTAATTTATGATAGTTTGATGTGGATGTCAATTATACCAATTTGATAATCATTAATTAATAGTATTCTTATGTATGTAAGTTCAGTATGTTACATTGAAAGTATGATTGGTTACATTAACTATTGAGATACTCTACACAAAGTTGAAACAATGTTTATGAACTGGAAACTGGTAAGGTGTATATTTACAAACATTGCATAACTTAAATTAGAATACTCATTTTTAAAACGAAAATAGAAATATGGATATGTAAACTCATGTGAAGAACATAATAATATACACTAAATCACATATCACCAGATATTAAATATTTCTAACAGTCTTATTGTCCATGTACTTTCATTCATTGAAAGGGAAAATCCCCAAAATAATTTGGGGCTTCTCCCAATCAATTCCACGTGGACTATTGTTTACACTCATCATGGAAAGGCTCCAGGGTACGGAAGTCACGCCATGCAGGAGGCAGCAGAGATGTGTGGTGGAGATGTGCTCCGCATCGCTTGCATGGCTCACTGAACAGATTTACATAGCTGTGCAGCCATGTCATAAAAGAACGGACAGCCAGCTCTGGTAATGTTGGAGAATAGAAGTGTAACATAGCAGCATGGGCATTCTCAGTGACTTTCCTAAACACATGGTGCCTTGACTCCGCCCACAGATCCATTGATTCACCATAACCTTTCACCATGACCCACTCCATCAAAAGCCCTTTAAATGCGACTATGGCTTTCAGTACATGACCCAGGTTGATCTGTACAACTGCATTGCTTGCAAATGGGCGAGATATAGTTATTTTCATGTCGCTATAAGATCTGTCAATGTTGTTGATGACATTGTCGACTAGTAGAGGAGCGACATTGTGATTGCTTTGCAGTTTACCGCGTCGTTTAGTACTTCCAGAGTTTATATACGATCGTTTGAGCGAGTTTTGGCTTAGCAGCGTGTGTGCGAACGAACTGTACTCGTGGATTTTGTCAGTCCACTTGTAACTGTTTACAAGTTGTGTATAAAGCGCTTGCCGATCCTGTGTTGTTTCTTGGCTTAGGTACGTCGTTGTACCCAAGTTAAAAGGAGCTGTGGGTATGGGGAGACCATTTACAGTTTGTTCCAAGTCTCTCAAGTTGATGTTCACGTTGTTAAGCAGTTCTTGAAGCTCTAAGAGGAACTTATCTTTTCCATCTTCTCCGTGGTCAGCTCGTAATCCATTGGAAAGTGTTTCAAAAACATGACTGACACTGGATCGTAGTACTCTGAGAGAGTTTAGCGCAGAGTTCAATTGATCCACGTTGATCGTAGTATTATTCATTTTGAGATATGTTTTTATTGAAATGATGTTTATTTAACAATCAAATTCTATCAATGTAAAATAGTTTATCACCATCACACAAACCCAAATTCGGCGACTTTACGTTTTGACAATGACAATTTCATAAATTGACATTGACACTTGTCACTTAAATTTTGAAGAGAATAGTCAAAACGTTATATTTTTCCAGTGACTTTACAAATTTAGAGAATAAATAGGTATAAAACAAGAAACCACCATTTAAATTTATATTATGTTCAAAATAGCTCATTTCATTGTTGTTGCTAAGACCAAATAAGTCAATGCCGATAGTCGGTAGATTAAACTAGCGACATCTTTCGGCGGGTTTATATTCAAAGTTGTATAAGATTTAAACGGTGTGAAGCGTTTTGAAGTAAGAGTGCAGCACTGCATTGTTTTTTATAGTATGCATCGAAAATGATCGTAAGGCTGGTTGGACAATGAAACGACTCCTTTTTATTCTTAGGATAGCATAAAATGGACTGTTTTTACGGGTTTAGGAAAAGATAGGATTGTATTCAAAAATGTATTAAGTACCTTTTGAGTTTTGTAAGTAGGTAACAAAATACTGCTGAAGATATAGGCTACCTAAAAACTTCAAAATTGGAATACAGCGGTACCTACCTAAATACATTGCCTACTTACTTTTCAGGAAAGCTGGTATTTATCGCAGTAAAATGCCCGTACATTTTGACACTCGGCCTACTCCACTGAGTTCTTCCATTACCTACTGCGAGCTGCGACTCAGCTCCGAATTTTGTATGCAAATGTGAGCAATTTGACGGTAGCCATCTTCCCGAATTAACGTTAAGCTTTTTACGTATTCAAAATGGCTATATTTAATAAAAAGATTATGCTGTTTTGATAACGACGGCACTGAACTTTTTGCTTTTTACGTTTCATCTAGTCTTATACATAGTGTGTTTTCATTACCTACATATAAAGTTTTGAAGTTGTTACTTTTGGTTTGATTTCTCAATATCTTTAGGTTTTACTTAGATGAAATACGTTTGCATGTTTAAGTAATTTGAAGGCTTGCTGCCGTTCTAATTTAGGCGACAAACGCATTTATAATTCTAGCCAAACTTGCTCACAATAACGACAAATACGTATTGTAAAAGTTACAGGGATTGTCAGTCGGTTTTATTAACGCTTGCTGTCGCCCAAAAGTTTAGATTCGCTTTTGATTTGATTCAAAACTTTTTGGACAGCGTTCCAAATTATATTCGACATTTTGATGGCTTGTAGGGTTAACAGCAGTGAGGATTTATAAAATATTTAGATTTAACTGAAAAGTACCGACGAAATATGAAATAGTGCTCTCAAACTCGGAGGAATGGTTTTTCCATGGCATCTACACAGAGGTTGTGGTATCCAAATAATATTCCTTCGAGTTAAATGGACTACATTTTACTATATTACCTTCGTTAAAAAATTTGGTGGCTATCATCCGGAGAGACCATCAACATCATTTGTAAACGTAGACTTTCATATTTGGGGTAATGCTTATGACTAGAAAAACTTGGCAACTTAACCTTTTGTTACATGTAGAAGAATATTCGGATATTTTAACCTTTCTAATTGCCGACTTGGATACTTGAGCGTTTATGAATCAAAGTTATAAAACGCTGTTTTCTAGCCAATTTGATGCCAACAAGTAAAGTTAGTCTTTTCTAAACTCAGCTTTTATTTATGATAAAGTTTATAGTTAATGTGATAGCAGTACATGCTTAAACAAGTATGTAAGTAAACTAAACAAAACCAACTATCAATTAAAAACGAAATAAACTTCCAAACCAGAAATCCCTTGCCATTTGTTTACTAGTCACTTTAAAACTCACATTTTAGAAAATAATCTTAAATGTGAAACGTCCCAGCTTTGTATCGCTTACTAGAGTACAAGAAATACACATACAATACCTATGATATACCTACAAACGTAAGGTGTATATCCCGCCTCTCACAGCCACACAGCACGATGCAAATAAAAGCATCGAATGAAAGTGAAAAATATTATATTTTCCGCTCTACTTACTGTGATCGTTCTCATGTACGAACATACTTCATACTTTATTTTCCCGATGGATAACAGAACACTTTTATTCAATAAAGATTTTGTGAAATAAACCGATGATGTTGTTTGTACTCGAAGGTATAATGTTTATGAGAAGTTTAAGAAGATTTAGAGTGAAGAATAGTTGTCTCCAGCCTCCACTATCTGTGGCCAGCTACAAGATGTCTACCCTGGTCTTAAGACGAAGACCTACTACATAGCATGGAAAGGTAAGCACACCATTTTACATTTTATACTTGAATTAAAATACATACATACATACATAACTTCATGTTTGTCTTCCATGGGGGTAGGCAGAGACTAGGGAGCGCCAATTACTACGATTCCTATATACCTCTTTCGCTTCATCAAAGGTCATCAATCTTTTCATGCATGCTCGTCGGTTAAGGGTACTGGTATGAATTAAAATAATGATATTAAAACACATTTTTCAATTTATATGAAGGTTGAATACATTTTATTACAAATATAATGGGTGTGGTATGATAAGATTGTTTGGATGTGATAATTATTAAATTGGAAATTGATGTTGAATTGAATAGTTTTGCCATTTCATACTGAGTAGCACTTACGTCAGATATATACAAGCTACAAGCTAAATAATTGGTTGTAGCTTGTATATGCTCCGTATCAGCTCCTTTTATCATCTCATCAGCCATCCTCGATAAATGCACTATCCAACACAAAAATAATTATTCAAATCAGACTTGTAGTTAGGGAGATTAGCGCGTTCAAACAAACAAACAAACAAAAAAAACAAACTCTTTCGCTTTATATAATAATATAAGATGTAAATGGAAAATATTAAAGATTTGTGAAAATATGAGGTTCAAGGCTACTACTAACTGCCCGATATACGACATAAAGATTAACGACACGTAGAAAAAGATAAACTTTCCAGATCATCATAATAACACTACTTGACACCCCATATCACAAAAATCACGACCAATAAGAGGAAACTGGAAACTTCAACATCCTCAAAAACCATAAACGGAGTCCGTTATACCGGCTAACGAGAGTGGACTATACACATTACGTACTATAAGGTAATAACCATCCCACTTAATTGGCAGTTAGTGATCACAGGCTAACCATTCCTCAGGTTTTATACATTACTTGTCTTTTACGATACCCAAAGCTACAGCAATGCACTGATCAAAATATAAACTGAACTTTGTTTCATTATCATTACGATTCTTTATCAAATGGCGTATAATTTTGAATGTTCTAATGTACTCAGTTATCATTAAAATAATAATAAACGTGCGGTAACTCCGAGCGTAGCAAAGTTTGCTACGCGGTTGTAGCTGGCGTAGCACTAGAAGCTACGCCGTAGCGCTCGTGTAGCGTGACAAGTTATCATTGAGTTTATTTGTGTAATTTTCAGCGGTTTCAGCTCCTAATGTTTTAATTATTATTAGAAAACTTAGAAATATGTTTCAATAATGTAGATAGCATCTCATATCGTTTTACGGGTTAAACGTGCAATTTTTCACTTTAGGGGACGTCACACATAACTGGTTTTCGTCATGAAAATCCATCTGGATCGTTTACCTGCATTTTATATATGGCACAAACGGGGCGAAGCTTCGCAGATGTGTATGGAAATATGTAGGATTTGTGCAGCAGTGTGGCCCAAGCCCCAGGCAGGCGTAATGTGCACAAGGCTTTGCCTGGCGTTCATAACTTTTGCAGCGTGTTTTTTAAAACTCTTTTTAAACGCTCAACTTTAAAATTGGAATCATCTTACCTCGTTCAAAATTGAAGCTCCATGTTTTTGTGTTTGCAGTCTGCAGCTATTAAACAAGAGTGGAAGAGATGGAACTTCTTAGTTCTTAGTTACAACATAAATAACATTTAATCATTCATTCGTGATGGTGTACAATTAGTATTTCGTTTTTGTAAAAAATAAACTAAAAGTATATATAAAGATGTTTCTTCGTAACTAGATTTGGTATTACTTATTCATGTCATTTGAATATCAACATTTCTATGTATATAGCTAAATTACATTACGCAAATAAAATGTGGCATAATGTCTGAAACTAAAGTAAAACATGGACATAATATTTACATTTAATTATGAAAAATGTTGAGTCTGTGAGGGGATTCAATGTTCAAGTTCATTTATAATTGAATATGCGAAAATGTTTTATAGAAAAAGAAATAAACGTATTAATTTTACATGCGAACTCGTTTTTAGATATTTAATAATTTTGAGAAGGCTCGATTGTATATTTTTACATGGCAATGTTTACGTCTGATTGCTATAAAGTTGCACTGGGCACAGATCGCATCTAGGGCCTGGCTGAAGCTTAAATTTTAACACAAAGGACAGGCGGTCATTCACCCCAATCTTATTTTGAATTTATTCTATCTGTTTGTGGTAATAATAATTGTCTAGTTTTATTAAGTAACTTTATTTATGAACCACTTTTATATACTGAAAATATTTTACTAAAACCAATATTTAGTATGAAAGAATACTTTTTTATTTCAAACTTAGTTTTATAAATAAGATCACCTTCATACGGTTAGGTCGAGATAGGCTTTTCCAATTACGTAATTAATCCCAGTCTGATATAGGGATCAAGCCTTTGCTAAATATAGTAAAGCTCAAAATGTTTGATTAATGATCTTTGTAGCCAAAGTAGTATTAATTTTGTTCTAAAGTACTCAAAATTATCTTTCATACATTATATATGATTAACCTCATTATTCTTTGGAATTCTAATAGGTAAACTTGGATATTTGTAATAAGATAATTATGAGATATTGAAATCCAAATAATACCTACGTTGTCTAAATCGGAAATTGAATTTTAGTCTCCATGATGCCAAACAACTCCTTGACCTCTTGCCCTTTGCAGTCAATTTTAAAGCCTCTTATCAAAATAAAGACAGTCTAGTCTACGTCCTTAGTAACTATATTAAATTTATACATATGCAATATGTATATGTACCTATGTGTTATGTTCTCCTTGACCCAATATTTGACGCAAAACATTTTGTCAAAGTTCATTGACTCCACCACCGAGGTGTGACTGAGAGATAAACAACTAGATTTGTTAGAGTCTTACATCTATGGGGACGTACGTACGAAATATTTATTTTGTTTATGTTTAAAAAGTATGAAATACATATAATTTTAGCTTAGATTTTCTTGAAAATCTTACTGGTATTGAAAACAAAAATCATAGGTAACCTAATTTATCTAAAAGCTGCTTACCTACACTTTTCGATATTCATCTTAACTTTTTTTGGCACACAAAGCGTTCGGAGTAAGCACAGATATCTCACAGAATGCCTAAAAAGTTTGCTTTGAAAATGTTAATCCTGGCAAAGGCGTGGCACAGTGTCGATTTTTATCAATTTTCATCGGCGATCTTAGTCATATTTTATGGGCGAGGCAGGGTTGAAAAACGAGCATTCTCCTCGAAGAATACTAAGTAGGTGGTGTCGAACGTTACGCTCTCCACAAATATAGATTTTGGGAATTTCGAACGGCTTCATTTAAATAGATAATATTGTGATAGTTTGGACTATAGACTTCGATGGAAATGTAATGAGATTCAACCATTGTGTTAATATTGAGTTTAATAATTTTATTGTCCAGTCTATATTCGAATGTAATTATTGTAACTGAATTGTGATGATGATGTATACGTATAGCATATAACTTTATGAATTTCGGACTATATTTAAAAAATCTTAAGTATTTTCATTGTTCAACTGCGATTTGTTAAAAGTATTTTAGTTTTGATGGGTGTCATAAATGACGAGAAGCGGGGTAGCCTGTAACTACTTCTGAATAACTCTATACGAACTGATAAGATAAAGATGACCTACCAAGTACATTCCAATATCAATTAACAGTTCACCAACTACACTTGAACAAAACATCAATACTAACTAGTCAATTACCAAAACTAAATCACATGCCTACATATTTGATTAAGACAATAAAAAAAAGAACAAAAACTTTTGCATTAAAAGGAATCTTGCTAAATAGTTCGATTAAGAAAACGTAATAAGAATGACAGTAAACGAGTGAGGCTTTCAAGTTGACCTGGTGAAGGAGACGCCAGTAACCTCGGCTGAAGGTAACTTTGACAACATTTAATTCTGTAAGACATATTCACTAAGTGTTTTTAATATATTTGCTGTAATTCACGCGTTTATTGTTCAATTTAAAAGATTACGTCTTTGAGTTAAACTGTGTCTTTGTGTGATTTGTTTTTATTGGTGACCTTTGAAAGTTACTTTAGATAAATGTGTAGATTATTATAAAAGGTCCTCTAGACGTCATGTTATGCCAAGTCTAGTGTAATACCTAAAACTCTCAGTAATCAGCACGAACTAATTATTACACTTTACTCTATATCTGCCTTTTTGTTGTCATAAGCGTAATTGTATAAGTCGCAAACGCTCATACACTGCATATTTTATGTTAACTTAATACTTCCTAGTTTTAATAGAAAAGCGGCTTTCACAGTCAACCGGAATATGATCCTATAAGGTTTCCGATATTTCCTTTTGATGTTCGAAGCCATAAAAGCCCAAACTATCGCACCACTTACATTTTACAGATAACCGGATTGGCCCAATACTTAATTCCCCTACGTTTGCCTCTAAGGATTGCCACCTCCCCAATTTTAATCTTCACAGAAAAATAAACAGACATCTGACAGAGAAGTGCCACAGTCGCAATTTTATGCTTAGTTTACTTTTCTCGTTTTCCTCGTTTCTTAATTTCATATTTTACCTTACAAGTTTGATTTTTTGTCTGTCTGTAGTTAAAACTGGCTTTGTGTTACGTTTGATTAAAATTCAACATTTTCTTTTGTCTTATAAATTACAAAAGGTATAGCGAGAATATAAATAAAAGAGGAATTGAAAATTACCAAATAAATACGAATCAAAATTACATAAGTATTCTCCTCGGAAGATCCGATAAATACTTATATAGTAATTAAAATAATGACAAAAGTATTGACGACCACATATAAACCAATTGTCGTTTTTTTTAGCAAAATGTGCAGTAAAAAATAAGTAGTCAAGTTACAAGCTAATTCGTTCATGGAAGGTTCGGTGGCACCACGTTATAATTAAGTTTGTGTCAGCTAGCAGCGATCCATCGATCTATATGTGTGTGTGTGTGTTTGTGTGGCTGTGTGTATGTCTGATTGAAGGACAGACAATTTAGTACCTGCCATCTCACGTAGCAAGAAATCAAGCTTGTTTTGACAATATCTGAGATTTCTAGAAGATTTTTTCATTACTTGGAAATGCACATATCTGCCATTTTACCTTTCCAAAAGATATAACCACAAGTAATACTTGAAATTAATTTAACTTGGTAACTTTCCGCAAACGTTCCCAGAACGCGACTCGTATTTTCCCTTTACGCACGTATATCTAAAAATGTAGAAGAAAATATTATAAAAATGTTGTCAGTATCGTTACACGACGCACATCTATTTACTAAATGTAGGCACTGAACAGACTCTCGACTTTTTTACAAAACATAAACAGATTACCTATCATGATAGTTTCAACAACATTTCGTACTTATACTCCCACAAAGTCTTGTTTTCTCAATCTCCATACTAGCAGCTTCCCACGCCAGGTACTATACATCAAACTTGAATGAGATTTTACGAATTGTTAATGAATAGTCTATCTTGCGGCGTGCTCCCGTTAATATTTTATCGGTACGTAGGGATGTGCCCTAAACGTTCCAAGGGCGCATAAAGATTGGGCGCGAGTCACCGGAGCGTCACCCGCCCGGGCTGCACCGACCTTGGGCCCTTGCCCTACTTTACGCCCTTCATTTTTATCACCCTTATGATTTTCAGCGAGAGCCGTACATCTGAACAATGTTTAGATGGCGCTTACTATCGAGTGATTATTTTATTCTCGAGATAATAATAAAGGCTTTTCCATGGGGTAGGGCTCAGGTCGGCGGGGTGCCGCGCGCACCTGTCCTGGCGGCTGCGCAGCGGGGCCTGGGGCGCGGGCGGGGTGCGGGGCTCCGGGGGCGGGCGCGCCCAGTCCCGCGCCGGGCGCCGCTCGGGCCGGCCGCACGTTGTCTCAGGCCGCATGAGCGCGCCGGCGTGCTAGCGCAGCGTGCGCGGGTGTGGTATGCCCGCGCGTCGCCGCTATGGCCCCTATGTTGGTGGCCTTGGCGCTGCTGGCTTTGCTGCCCGGTGAGTGTCCGCCTCGTGATCGACGCAACAGGCGTCCGCCGCGCCCCCGCGTTTGTTTACCCCTTTGGGGATCGATTGGCGTGATGGTGAGAGCTGAGGTGTTGTGTGTGTCTAATGGCTATGAGCTGAGCCGTGATGACGGCTGTCGGAGGTAACGCGGTCCGGATGCCGTCCGGAAAATCAGGTTCAAAATTCGGCCAGGTAATCGGTACCCGGGAGAAATGTTGGATTCGGAAAACATTCGGAGTCATTCGCAGACGGTTGGTCTGTTTTATGTTTATAAAGTTAGTAGCGGCACGTGTTGTACTTAGTTTCCATTTCGCCAGTTGGGTCTGTATACGAGGTAATAAAACGCAAAAATTCAGGTTTTACGAGTGAATCTGTACGTAGTTACAGTGATGGTAATGATTTGGTTACCGCAGCTCGTAGCCGAGGTGCCAACTTTATGGTTCTCGTCGTCTTAGTCAGGAATTCGTTTGGGAAAATGTTTTTTACGAAACTAAGTAGGTATCTGTGTTTGATGTAGTAAAATTCTGTTCCACGAGGCGGAGGCGTTTTATACGGTGAGATAGAATGTCAAAACATTTTCTTGTACACGACGAAGTGTGTCGCGGAAAATCTCGTCAGTTTCAGGGATAATGGCTCTAAGTATAAAGCTCGCAGGGCTTCTTTTTAAACTACGCACATGAAAGTGAAAAATCACATCTCGTTTCTAAAGTTAATTAAGTCCTAAAAAGTAGGAGTCGCCCCAGAGGCAGGTATTGCGATGAATAAATTCATGAGCACTTGGAAAGTCTCCCGGGACTACAGCCCCTGTTGACTTGCCAACAGGTTACAATCTCGCCTCTCTTTCTACCATGTAATTCAGTTAACATCTTAGAACATTATCGTGAAGGAGCGTTTCACAGAATCCAAAATTAGGGCATGACGAAGGTGAACGATTGAAGTACAGAATTGTGGCATATAAGTACTTATACGTTTGTAACGATTCACGATATAACCATTCTTGCGTTGTCAGAAATCTATCGATTGTTTTCCTCTGACAGCGTTACGTTGCCGTAACGAAAGACAGATAGGACATTGATATTGGCTATACAAAAGGTTAAGAGGTTTCTTTTTCATTAGTAACGAAAACCTCTGGGCTCGTAGCTTCCAACAGTAAAATTATAAAACTATCTATTCAATTTCACAAAAAGCATAAACCTGCTTAGTAGCATGGTTATACTTTACGTCTTTTTGTGATATTGACGCAAAAACCCTATTATCACATTTCGATAATGACGATTTGAACGCAGTATAAAAGCAAAAGAAAACAATTGTTGAGTACGAATAAACGGATTATTCTTACTCAACTAATTGTTTTCTCTATAATTTATATAAACCAGACTTGAATAATGTAAAATGTCCGCCTCGAACAGTATCTGACCTTCACTAAACCAATCAGTTAATAAAAATATTCCACCCAGGTACCTATTGTTCCGAAAAATCCAATAAGGTGAAGAAAATCTCCAACGTATGATAGATTTATTCTTGTTTACCTCGCAGCCTAGATTCCACACAATAAACCCGTAATGAAGATCAAATTCTATGAAAACGAAAGAATGGCGTCCGTTCATTTTTCCCGATAAAATATGCATACAACGTACACCCGTGGAACTCGCCCGACGGACACTTCGAAAGGGTTATATTATGTTTTCTCTCTCAAAGATAACCATATATTACGCCCCTGGCAACATTCTCTACCTGCACACCTTTCTCTCCCATAATCTCATTCCATTTCCATCTGGAATTCTCGCTTGATTACACAAACAAGTTGATGAAAGATATAAATTCAAAAGAATTTGATGAAAGCTCAAAGATAAATCTAAAGAAATAATTAACGATTCTTTGTTTTGCCAGAGAAAGGAAGCAGGGGACGATGCTTATTGCGGGTGACGGAAGCCACGAGATATTCAAAATAAGCTCAATAGATTCAAAAATATAATCAAAAGCAAGTTAAATTGTATGGTACCACGGTGTGGTTTAAAAGATTCGTTTTCCCCGAGGATCATCAGGTAGGCAGGATAATGTGATTCGGGTAGAGGTAAACGTTTTACCGAGGTATATAACTGGTTACCTACCCCATGAACAGATTAGCGACAGCGTCAGATTTAAAAATAACAGTGGATACGACCCGATACCCAAGTAGGTAGGTACTAGCTACTAGGTAAACTAACTATACAAATATAAATGTCCTCATTTGAACATTCAGTTATTTGAATAGTTCAATGGGGTGAAATCTGAAGCCGTCAAAGTATTGTTCTACGATCCTTGAATTGGTACCTAGTGAATGCTCTTGCTGCTGGGCTATTGATTTCTACGTGTGACTTTCCTTTTCAAGTGATTTCAATGAGACTTCACTTCTATTACTGAACTGATTTCGACTCTTATCGAAATTCTGATTTACATTACACTTACAAGCAAGTAACTTTATCTTCGTTTTGAATTCGCTGGCCATAGACAAAGCAAGAGTATAAAATGAGCACAGATAAAACAAAAGGATCTATGGACTGTATGATATTTTATCTGCTTACTGGACAATGAAAATAAAGTGACTTTTTCTGATTGGATATACCTCTATGGTCCCTTTTTGAATGAGGACACCTTTTAATTAAACAAATAGAAAACTCATTTTGCTTAAAACTGACTACAGATTAACTAATTGCTTATGACCGGCTTTAAGTGATTCTGAAACTTTTTCACAGCTTCGAAATCTGTTTCAGCTCTATGAACGAAAATTAAGGTCTCAAGTTTTAATTTGTTTTGTATTATCTTTGAATCGACATGGCTATTCTCGCAATTTAGAGGAGATTAATATTAAAGTGCTGAGTTAAGTCAACGATTTTGCGAATCCGCTTTGCAAAGTGAAGGAGATTTGGACAAACACTGCTTTTGAGGCATTTTTAATATTGTTTAACTAATGTTTAACCTTTGTATTATTTGATTCTAACTATTTTTAATTCACATTCACTAAAGACTTAAATATGAATCAACAATTCACTCAGAATACTAAACCAGAATTGGCAGTAACACAGTCACTAGTAGGTTTTTGGCTTGGTCATTGAGTGCAACATGTGGCAATATATCAGTTGACGCCATTACAATCACGCGCTGTGTTCCCCAACGTTTTGTTAAAGCGACGCCATTTTTATTCCTGCTACGTATTTTTCAACATGGCGAAGAACAAGGAATAACATATTTGTTCCTTTGCCTTCTTTGGGCGTTGTGTCGAAAAAAAAACGAGTTTTCAATATCACAGGTAAGAAATATCGCGTGTTTTTTAATACATGGGTAAGTGTAATTTTTTTTATTATTTAGTATTTTTTTTTACAATTATTACGGTACATAACAATTATTTATTTTTTAGAATGTAATCTGTCAGAATTATTTTCTTAGAAATATTATCAAAATCTTCAGGATTTCTATAAACACCAAGAACAAACTAATTGTAAAATGTAGACGTAAGCCTCAGATGTCTTGAAAACATCGACATTGTTTTGTTTTCCATTAAAAATAAATAGAAAGGATATTTTCTGGATAGTGCAATACGTGTCGAGCTATCATTTTCGTGCCATTCCCGTTGTGAGAATAAAATCCCACTGTAAATAAGTGAGCTTCAGTTATTTCACCAGGAAATAAAAGCAAGAATGAGATTTGTAATGTATAGCTGATAATAGATTCTTTTCACTTCATTTTTGTAGGAAAATGGAATAGACATTTCGAGTTAGGTACTCTTAGATCAGAGATTATTAAGTAATCAATTGTTATACACAGATTACGTAGATATAGTTCTAATAAATGTGGATATTAATGTCTACTTCTTACATTAGTAAAGAAAGTATTTCCTACAAAGGCTCAGTTACTAATCTCTTTAATTTACCACTCCGTTATTGAAAGCCCTCGAATATAACACTGTATTGCTATAATCCCAAACAATCAATGCGGTAATCCTATACTACGAACACGAAAAGGGGGGAGGCAAGTTAAATCCACGTGAATTACAACAGGCAATCAAATTGCTTGAGACAATTAAGAAATAGATAGACTGAATCCACGAATTCTAAGCTATAGTTTTGAAATGATCCAGTATGAGTATATACCTACCAGGAGCTTAAAGCAAATAGAATTTGTCGGTTTTCGATAGTGACGACGTAATATTTTTATATGGAATATTTTACAGCGCCTCTAGCGGTCACTTACGCAACTAAAATTTGCCATACAAAATAATCAAGTCTTCGCTATTGAATGTGGTAAACCCATAGAGGTGCTGTTTCTTGAAATTGTTTCTATGTTAGGATTTACAGTGTAGTGCAGTGCGTCGATCTATCATGTTCGTACCATTACCGTCGCGGGTTTGTGATCGCGGGCTCAGTGGTTCGTCGCAGGAGAACGTTTCGCTGACGTGACGTCATTTATCCTGATAATGTTGTATCGGTTTAGTCGGATAGAAAAGTTCGGTGCACGAAACTGTGTTAAGATTTATGATAAGTACCTTTGTTGTAGCGCTTGCGATTTTTCCTAGTCATCTATTGCCTGGTTTAGCTGATGTAAGCGTGACTGTTCTGTATCTGGTGCTAGATCGTATTATCGAGCTAGACGTCACTGAGTTTTCTTTCTTATAGAAAATCTCAGTGTTAAGTCTAGAGTGAAAATGATGATAATACCCAGTATTTTACGTTTTGCTTTTTTCCTTTAAACCTGATTATTCAACTGTTTCTTTTTTAAATTTAGGTCCCACATGTTAACTTAAGTCTAGGGCGACAAAAACCTTTTTAAACTTTTACAAATAATATTTATTACCATACATGATTATCTACCTAGTTTGTTTTAGAATAATGTTCGAAAGACCAATTTGTTTTGTTAGACTCCCTAGGTTCTCATGATAGCTAATTCTATTAAAGCATTTGACCAGAATTCTATTAGGAACTGTTTGTCAAACTACATTGCTGCGGTCTACAAAA